TTGAATCAAAGATTCTGTTTTGCTGTACGTCTTACTGTCAAATATTTAAGGGGAATTGGTTTAGAGACTGCAGAAAAGACACTGGAGAACACATTTAACGTTCCAAAGTTTTTTTTTTTCATTTAGCAAAGAAATAGTTTTTAATAAATTGAACACAATATATTTCATCTAACAAGTCATCTCTAATACCTGAGGGAAATACATGAGCAGCAGCAAACACTGACCTTTCCATCCTACATGTGGAGGTGAGACTGAGTGATCCTGCAACTTCAGAAGGTTAATGGGGAAACTGGCCTGAAATCCGTTGTGTATTTGAATTATTCAGTGTCATTTATTTTTTACAGAAGTGTCTCCTATAAGCAAAGGACAAATTGTTTCCTCATTTGACTTACTTACAGTGACTCAAGTTGAACTGGCCTACTTTTTAATTCTCAACTTCAGTGTAATATAGTTAAAAGTTCAGGGAAGAAGGAGATGGAAACAGGCAAACCTTCAACATAAACTTTAATGTCAAAATAAAGAAACACTATAGTGACGAAAGTAAAGCGGCAGCCTCTCACGGATGATTGCTGCACAAACAAACAAAACACAATGTGGATTCCAGGCCTGGTCCTCTCTCGTCTTTCAGGATTGCCATTTCTCCTTTTATCATTCCAGAGCTCGCCTCAGGTGTGGCGCGCTGGTGACGCTCATTATCACTCACGCCACCAACCTTGCTGCGTTCCCACGGCTCTCGGCCTCGCCCTGCTTGCCACATTTTTTTTCATTTAAATTCATTATTTGTGAATTTTTTTTCCTCCAGCCATTTGAACTCAAAGCTATTTAACAATAATAGGTCTATGCATTAGTTTAACCCCTTCAGACCTGAATTATGTTTCAAGTTTCTGAAAAATATAAAAGTACATTTTCCCAGCTCATGAGGCTTCTATTAATGAGACCAAATGAAAAAAAAAAAAAAAAAAATTGTCTTTCATTGTAATTTTTTTTGTCCATTCCAATGGACGTCAGGTCAAAACAGGTGTACTTCCCAAAAATGTACCAACATGAAATAAATTAATAAACATAAAATTTGTTGGTCTATACTTTAAGCTTTTTCTCAAGGTCAAAAACTTTTCAGCAGTATACCATTTCAACTTTAATTTTGAGGTTTTTGTTTTACAGATTGCACATTGTTTGTAACAAACTAAATATCTTTGAATCAATCAATATGGTCATATTAAAGTCATTTTCTGTATGCATCTTTCTTTTTTTTTAGATCAAAAACTTGAACATTATAACATTGCAACTTTAATTGTAAGGTTTTTGCTTTATAGATCGCACATTTGTTTATTCATAACAAAATAAACCTAGGAATCAATGAATGCATTCACGTTAGAGTCATTTCCAGTGTGCATCTTTGAAACAATTTCTCTGTTAACGGTTTTCTTGTATTTTTACAGTACATTACTGGCAGCACGGTTGCCAGCAAGTTACTGTATTTCGATTTCCAGTAACTGTAGTGTAATTCACTTTACAGTGCACAAGATCAGTACTGTAGACTACAAAATAGTACTTTACTGTATTTTTACTGTATTTCGTAATTTGGTCTGCTTCTGCTGTAATTAATTATACGGTATTGTACTGTAATATCTATATTGAGACATTACTGCTAAATATTATTGTAATTTTCAAAATAGTTTCTAATAATGATAATATTATAATAATATAATATAGTTATTAGGAAAATATATAGTAGGAAAAAAAATACTATGGAAGTCAATGGCTGTCAACTGTCTTGTTACCGACATTCTTTAAAATATCTTATTTTGTGTTCAGCAGAATACAGAAACTCATACAGGTTTGAAACAACATGAGGGTGAGTAAGTGATGACAAATATAATTTTTGGCCAAAAATTCAAATTAGCCCATGATTTACTCACCCTCTAGCCATCCTAGGTGTATATGACATTCTTCTTTCAGACGAACACAATCAGAGTTATATAAAAAAAATGCCCTGGCTCTTCCAAGCTTTATAATGGCAGTGAATGGTTGTTTCTGTTTTGAAAGTCCATAAAAGTGCATCTATCCATCATAAAAGTGCATCTATCCATCATAAAAGTGCATCTATCCATCATAAAAGTGCATATCCATAAAAAAATATTAATATAAAATAAAATATGAAAAATATTCATATTCAAGTTGCGCTTTAGATTGAAGTCAAATCCGTATGTTCATTTGGCCGGAAGCTAGTTATTTTACTTTATAAAGTTTTAAATACGGATATTTTTCTTACATCTCCATCTTCCTCATCACTCCACATAAAGTCAACATCTGAGATATTTTCATCAGCTATATGTTCAAGCACTTCAAGAACTGTATATTCTGCATATGAAAAAGTTTAAAAAATGTATCGGTACTGTGATATAGATTTTTTTTATATAAGAAATTTCAATCAGCATTACTGGACATGTGATTTCAGTAACAGGCTTTCGAACCCACTGTCCATTCTAATGGACAGACACATTTGAAAAAATCCTGATTTAAAACGTGCAATTCTACAATCGATTTTTAACTTTAATTAATAAGTTCAATCTTTCTATTTTACATACAAACTATGAAATAATGGCAAAAATATATAAAAAATGTCAATAAAACCATAGAAAATGTTGCTTGCTTCTGTGCTTGGAGTGAAGTGCTGCCATGCTTCTCTTCAATGAAGTGTATTTTTTTATAATTACTACATGCAGAGCTTTACTGCCATTTGATTGGATGACAAACGTCCAATCTCATGGACTGCAGGCTTTAAACTAGGTGAAATGCTCCAGAAGTAAAAAAAAAAAAGGAGGCTGACATGTGATGTCCATTGTAATGGACGCAGGGTCTGAATGAGTTAAATGACTGCCCATATTCTAAATTAATATTGTGTGATTATATAATATACACTGTACAAATGTTTGTGGTCAGCAAGATTTTTAAAATTTTATAAATTAACCAAGGATGCATTAAAGAGTGACATTAGTTTGTTGTACAGGTGAGATGGCATTACCTGCTCTGGCTTTCCAGCCTGTTGCACCTCCTACGGTGCCGTTGGGACAGCTGCAGGGTCATCAGCTGGACACCACCGTTCATAGATGTTTCGCCCCCACGACCAGTACATCTCCAGGCGGGGGGGCCGGTGGCATGCTGGGGACGTCTCTCCGACACCCCCTGCAGCTGCCTTCACTGGAGTGATGATCCCCACCCCATTTCTTTCCTCCTAAACCAAAGCCAGTAGCTCCCTTTCTCCGCTTCCTCACCCAGCACCCCCGTGGCTTTCCTCAGCCTTGAGCCTGTTACGCCCACTCCATGTAGCAGGTGGACTGCTGCTTTGCCCACGAAGCCTCGACAGCTGATCTCCACAGGGTGAACAGTTGCTTTCCAGCCAGCATCTTTGCACTCCTCTGCTAACTCGGCGTACTTCTGGTGCTTCCTTTCGTGGGCTGCTGCCATATTCTCCTCCCAGGGGATGGTTGGATGGAGGAGCGCTCGCTTCGCCACTGTGGACCACATGACTATGTCTGGTCAGAGAGTGGTAGTCATGATCTCTCTTGGAAAGACCAGCTGTTTCCTAAGGTCTGCCAGCATCTGCCACTCTTTACCAGGTGCGAGCATGCTGCTCTTCTTCTGAGCAGGAAATAAGTGTATACCGCCAGGCTTTACAAATCCTGTCAGGGCATGCTCTTCAGTTGCCGGTGAGTGGTTTGCTGCCACCCTACAGCCCTCCAGGATCTCGGCCAGTTTTGTCAGGATTGCATCATGGCGCCACCTGAAGCGTCCCTGGGTCAGTGCCACTCTGCATCCCGACAAAGTGTGTCAGAGACTTGCCTTGGCGCTCCCGCACAGATGACAGCCCACTTCATCACCATACCACAGTGTGAGGTTCCTAGGGCATGGAAGGGTGTCGTAGGTCACCCTCAACAGGAAACTGAGCCTGGATTGAGGCACCCTCCAGATATCCGCCCAGGTAATACGCCTGTTGATGGTAGCATCCCATCTCGTCCAGGCTCCTTGCGTGCCCTGGGATATTGCTTTCAGATGGAAGTGCGCCTTCTCCAGTCTTGTGATTTCGTCCACCACCATGGTCTTCTGCTGTCTCTTGGTGGCTTTGGACCAGAATTGCTACGCTGCTCCCCAGCCCAGCCCAGCACGACTGGTCTGGACAGCCCCCATCACTTCTCGGTGTTGCAGACTGGCGATGGCGCGCTCCACCTCTGCTTGCGCCTTCCATTTGCAGCCTGTGCTGATGGGGACTTAAAATCTTACCGACCCCAGACTTTTGCATGCACTGTCATGTGAAAGTTAAACCGTGTTTTAAAGTAATTAATTACTATTATAACCTATGCATAGTTTACAACAGTTTCCCACAGTTTACATGGTAATGCAAAGCATGAAGGAGATTTGCAAATGAACTGAGAGTCAGTTCTGCACCTGAGCACTTTAATGCATTACTTATTTGTTATCTTTAGTCTGCAGTGACCCTAAAGGTAGAAGTAGACACGAGAGGATGCATTTTCTTTGCACACATAGCAGGGTCAGCATAAAATCCTTTACATGATTGTGCACCGGTTGACATCTAAATTAGAATCTTCAGTGATTGACAGAAATAAACTGGTGCGAATCAACCAAAGATTTAAGCTTTACAACATCCTAAAAACATCCTGAGGCAGAGATTTATTTTAACGCTTGGTGGAAAACAATGATCTATCCGATCCAGATATATTTCAGATGAAATATCCAGTTTTTGTCAGCACACAACACAACTATGATCTTCAGCTCCCCAGTATATCATCTTTTCTCTGATACCACTTATCCTGCTGCTGTTCTGGCATGTGGCCATGTGCAATCCTGAAATGTATTTGACTGTAATTATATGGGAATCAGGTCATTATTATCAGTATTTTTGTTTTGTTTACACTATTCATGCCTTGCTATTCCCAGTAACACAGAACCGTTTGCACTAATGCACTGTGTTATTCTTTCAGTGGCATCCCTGGGAAGAACTGCGGTACCATTATCCTTACTGCAGAGGAACTTGGAAACTGTCGGGTAAGTCAGCAGTTTTACTTTATCCTCCACAGAATAGTTTTGCTCTGAATAATTGTTTTTTCAACCGCCTTTCTTTTCGAAATGCTTGTAACTCTTCAGCAGTGAAAACCTTTACTGAAATGATTCACTTTGATAAGAAAGCTGACTGTTTTACTCTTGAGATCAGACCATTCACTGCCTGGCAGCCAAATACATTATTCCAGAGAAATGAACTGCAATATGTTATCTCCACAGACAAAAGGGAAACAACTTCAAAAACCAACTGAGCACCAAAGACATATTTTAATACGTTTATTTCCATTTTACTGAAAAAAATGCTTTATAAGCATAAATAATGGAATAACAGAAAACCTTGGTATTTGTAGTCACAGGTTTGCATCATCATTATTTAATTTAACTTTTAAATTGGCCATTTACTTGATCTCTGCCATTAACTAAATACAAACCAGAACATGGGCTGATGGAGCAACAGTTGAAAAATGACAGCGCTTTCAGTAGTGAAGATCATTGCTCATTGGGTACTGTAAGAACGTTTGATCTAGTACACAATGAAGGCTGAGTTTGTTTCCCTTGTTCTCCTGAATGCTTTAAGCTAGTATTTTAAGACCAGCTCTTATTGAACCAAAGGATCATGGAATTGGCATCAATGTTTTCAAGGAAGAATGAACACAGAATGGAATGTTGCGGCAACTGGTGTCACAGCTTTAGTATAAATAATCTGCGTTTCTTAAAATTGCTTAAAAAGGGAGATATGGATATTGTGACCTATCTGAACTAATTTAAGGGTGACGATGTCTCTAAAGTTCCCTTCAAAGACTTGAATGCTCATAAGGATCCATGTGAATTCTTGGAAGGCTCTTGGAAGTACTTTGGACAAATTTTCTACATGTCTTGTACTCTTGTTTCAACCTGCATTGATTGTCTGGGCCTAACAAACTGAAGAGGATAAAGCATCCAATCTAATATTCTGCTTATGCATTTTAAATTTGTTCTGACATCAAGTGTTGATTGCTGTTGGATACTGAAGGGTCCGAGATGGTGTCGGTGAATAGCACTAGATGTATATGTTAAGAGGCTTCTTATATTGGGAGTGATGGCTTGGAAAATGATAAGCAATAACATGCTAATTAAGTGGCGTTTCATGAAAGCTGGTTCTGTAGACATGCATATGGACTGATGAATCGGTGCGGTGAGCAGACCATGTAGTGTTTCCTGCAGAATAGTTTTTTTTAATTTTAATATACAATACGATATCAAATTTTATACTTTTTTCATATTTACTATATTATTATATTTTAATAATAAAATGTTATTTTGATAACATTTTTAAAATAACAATTAAATAATTTAATGTGTTAATTTAATTTATAAAATTTTAAATATCGGTTGAAAAAAGGTGATCTTTTGATATGCATTGTCATATGAACTCCCAGTTAGTAATGAAACTAATTTAATTGAATTCATGAATTCTGGCTTTATTTCAAATAAAACAGATGTTAATTAATCTGCCTTTTCGATGGATTCAAAGTTTATTCTCAATAAGGGAATTTGTGAAATTAATTAAAAGAATAGACTAATTTGTTCAGACTAAAATTTTTCGCAAAGATAAAATAATAGATTTTTTTTTGAACTGATATTGTTTTGAAGTCCACAGTTGTTTTATTTTATCTCATTCTCTTCAGACTAAGGAAAAATATAACAATGCCATGGCTCTGTAGATTAAGGAGGTCAGTGATCCAGGAAAAGACAAAAAAGTTTCCATCTCCTTCCCTCCCATCTCTTTATCATGTCTTCTCACTGGACTGTTCTGGTTTCGTTTCGCTGTTTAGTAAAGTTTACTCTGTCACCGGTGATAGTACTCATTAAATAGCAGAAATAGCAGCACAGAGTAAATTACAGCTTTTCCAGGTTGTAAATGGCTATGTTGTGTTGACTACAGGCTCAAACACACACAAAGGACTGCTCATTTGAGCGATCTAATGCACACACTCGCAGCCACACTCAAGCTCATTTGAAATGCCCAAAAAGCTTTTCCCCTCTGCTTGAGGGTAATAGATTGGTACATCTGCTTGATCTATATATATATTTCACATGGGAGATCAAAAGATGATTTTACAGGATGTTATGAAAGGCCGGGTTTTGATCAGGTACATGCAAAGAACATCTATGAGGAAATGCATCATGTTGAGAGGAAACCTCTGATTTTAGCGAGAACGAGGTTTTGCAAATATCTTCAAAAGTCTGTCTCTTTCCAAGAAGTCACATAGCGGAATCACATTCAAAGACCAGATAAAACCTACAAACCCAAAATAATGAGTGAAATGTTTCGTCTACGAAGTACAACGTGGCCAAAGACAGGAAGCTTTAGCTGTGATGTGATGGGCTTTGAATCCTTGAATTGTTTACTGTTGCTGAAGAAAGCATTTCCAAGAAAACTGTCACTTTATGCTTGATTGCTCAATTCATAGAGTCTGGTTTCAAAGCTAGCTTAGGTTGATATTTTGCTTTTCTCTGCTCAAATTGTTTTCAGCTTGAATTGATTTTGCTAAGTTTCTATTTATGGGATCATAATCATATTGAATGCTTGGTATTAATGGACCCGTTAATCATACGAAAAGTCCTCCTGACACTGTGGTTTAGTTCGGTCAAGAAACAATTCGAGCAATGTATAAGCCTACATTACTAATAAAAAGTTAGTGCTCTTTTGTCCATCAAATATGAGGTAAATTGTCCCTAGACTAGCCTGAAAAGTCTCCTTTCTATTCAAGAAATCAGTATAGCCTACCATTAGTTTTAATGACTTTGTATCAAATACCACACATACCATTATGATTAATGATGTTGTCTCCTTAGTTCACCCAAAAATGAAAATTCTGTCATTACTCACCCTTATGTTGTTCCAAACACAAATAAAGATCTAAAACTTAAAACTAATCCATATGAATCGAGTAGTTTAGTCCACATTTTCTGAAGAGACACGATCGCTTTATATGATGAACAAATTGAATTTAGGCTTTTATTCACATAAACATTTATCAATTCACACATCAGTTGTGGTAAACCAATGGATTCTCGTGTGCTACGCAGCACGTTTGAGCTTCCGCAAGAGCTTCTGTTTATGTTCGCTGATCAATGTCAGTCATTACTGGAGTGTAATTTACCAAGTACACACTGGACGAAGTGTCTTGTGATTGATTCCTCTGGAAATCTTCTACAGTTCTTCTTCAATTTCTTCTCTCACTCACTCTTCCTCTCTTCTCACTGACTCCAGCCTACAATTTGATCATTCCCTGAATGGCACTCTCAAAGCAAGATAGTGTTTAGTGGCTAATTGGTTCAAATGGAATTGATGCTTGCTGATGGCAGGCACAGATTAACCATTTGGGGCACAAAATAGCCTTTTAGGGGCCAGTTTTTCTTTTTTTTATCCCCAAAATGTGTATGTATTACTGTAAAATGATGTCATAATAATAATAATTAAATTAGTATCTTGATATTGTTATTTTAGTATTATTTATATGTGTAAGCAATAAGGTACGAGAGGCTGTGCTGTATCGTGAATAAGTAACGGCTGAAGGGCGTTGTTAGGCACGACGCGAAGCGGAGTGCCTGCAACCCCTTCAGCCGTTACTTATTCACGATACAGCACTTGCCTCGAGTACCTTATTGCTTTTATAAAACGGTTACCACACAATATTAAAGAAAAAAAAAATTATTAGTGGAAATTTCATGGAAGTTAAATCAATAAAAGCATTAAAAGCATTCCTTCCGCTAGAAAAAAAATAGTCCCTGACCGTGAACAACAACGTTCCAATGTGTAATATGCATGAAAGCTCAAATAAAAACAACAAACCGTTCTCAAACTTGTCTCATTCTTTTTATTTTTTACAACACAATATTTGTGAAATTTCCTCACACAAATAGGCAAAGCTTATCTCTCAGCATGAGAAAACGTTTACTTTTTTGTTTATTCCGTTATTTTCTCTCTGCACTAAACTAAATATTTACATAGCCTATAAATAAAAACACAAGGGCACATATTTTGATAGATAACAGTTAGGTCTTTAATCTATTTTATTAATGTTATCAATTCAGTTATTAAAATGCTGCCTAACAAGAGATTCTTTTTTATTGTTGTTTATTTAAATTTATTTGAACATCTCCGTTAATTGTGCACGCATTAAATATTTGTCTCATTTCAATCGGCTCCACTGTGGTGATATTTAACGCGGTTCTCTTTAGTTGGGGCTCAGCACTGTCAGCAGTGTTTTCTGTTGCAGCAAGAATGTCGCTCCAGTGCTTTCTTTGTTTTAAGTTTGGCCTCCAGTAGCTCTGTAGTGAACTTTCACACTTATGTCCACTCACAGACATAATTTCCCTCGATTCGAGACCAGCATCGGACAATCTCTGCACCATGGTGCTGCGAAGGCAGTGATTTGTGTAAACCTTTGAGGTGCCTGCTGCTTTACAAATTCTCTGCAACATTGTTGCGAGGTAGTTCACACCCATAGGCTCTCTTGTGTACCTGCAACAGTCAAAAACGAGAAAAAACTTTAACACAACAAGATTTAACACAAATTATAAATAGCTAATATGATTTATGTGCCGCTGCGTGATCTACGTACCAAACACATTTAGAGAGGTTTTGCTTTTTGGGGTGAAGGTAAAAAGCAGGGGGGTTAGATGGCAGAAGAGAAACGTACTTCTCTAGAGAGGCAACGGGACAAAGCGGGTTCCCAGTTTGTTGGAACATGAAGCCACGCCTGCTCTCCTTATTTCTGTCATGTGGGTCCTTATGGTTTTTTGTGTCTTCATTGAAGCTCATTGTGACATACTTTACACCATTTTCGTTTGTTAAAATGCGGAATGAGTCTGGAATGAGTTCTCGGTTCCCCTCTTTTCCTCTACGTCCGAAGTGTAACTGCACGTCAAACCAGACTTTGTTAACGAGTCCTTCAGGTGTGTTAGGATTAAGCGCATCGGACAGTTTTATGGTGCTGAAATCTTTCGTAGAAATCGATGTGTGATGCTCCGTTTTATCACGACCCTCTCTTCTCATTGTCTTTACGACTCCAACGAAAACATTATTGGATGAGGTGAATTCGCTGTCTCTCATCAGACACCAGGACAAACTCAAAGGTGGATCATTCAGGAATCTGTTCACACCCGCACGTAACGCTACATAGCTACTGATCCCATATTTTTCGCCTTTGGAGCTTCTGACAGTTCCGTAGAAGTCACGGAGAAGTGCGTTGAGTTCCGTCTTGGTGATTTGTTTAAAATCAATGCTGCAACCCTTTTCACTACACCAGTCACCGAAGCATTTCACTGCCCATTGGGTTTGCTGCACGGTATTTTTTTCATTACGAGTCTTCTCGAATGTATCAATGTTACATTTCAGCACTTCAGCATGACGGTTCATATTTGTAGAAGTCTCTACAAATTGTTCCTCAAACCACTTATCCATCGTCATGCCACCTAATAAATCGAAATTTACTTTAAACATTTTAGCCTTTTTAATTCTTACGTTTTTTGTCTGTTTATGTTGATACGTGTGGTTGCTAAGGGTGTTGCTAATGGCGCAGTGATAAATAGAACCGTTGGGTGAAGCGGTCATAGCCGTGTTTTATCGTGAATAAAGCACAGCTATTGACCAATCAGAATCAAGGATTGTAACTAACCGTTTTATAAGTTATATTTATTAATTTTTTGAATTAGCTTTTATTTTTATATTTTTTAGTTTACATTTTATTTTAAGTTTGAGTAATTTCCTTTTTTTGCACATATTATCATTGTAGAGTGGAGCAGGAATGAGGTCAGAACCCAGAAGACTAATTCGCCACTGGTTCCTTATTTTCTTATGAGTTTTATAATGGGGGGTTTCAATTTATCAGTAAATAAAGCCTGTGGTAAATATAACTTCACAATACTTTGACGTTTTGTTCTACAACGTAAACTGCATACACTCACACCCCAAACTCTCTTATCTAGTTATTTTTTTTAAAAGTACGTTTTCAAAAATAAACATAATCAAAATTCAAAATTTCTAAATTCATGCTTTCGGTATGGGTGGGTGTGTAATTTACGTTGTAGAACAAAAAGTCGTCAAGCCATGTTTACCATAGGCTTTATTTAAATAAAGTTAAAAAAAAACAAAAAAAACATTATAAATCTCAAGGGAACCAGGGCTCAGAGATTTGACATCATCCCTTACCACTCCATTAGAGATGTTGTTGGGTAACACTACCTCATGATAAACTGTTTGTAAAATGTATTAGCATAAAACTGCTCTAGTAAACAAAAACATTATAATCTAGTCATTGGAAAAAGACGTCAGGAATGTCAGTATTGACATGGCTTGAAATATTCTGATTAAACAAGGGCCAGCCATGTTTCTTGAGAGCTAAATATTGAGCCGCTGTCAGGGTCAGTGGTATTTGTGGGAGGAATCATTTATTAGCGAATTATTTATTGCAGTCTTTTAAAGAATAGGAAAACAAAAAGTTGTTTTAGCTTTAAACCTTTTCCCACCAAAAATCATAAGGTGAACGAAGGAGACGTAGCTGTCTGGAGCACATGACTTTATAAAATGTGCATGCGTACATGTTGAACTATAGAGTCATGGTGGGGGTGAATTGTGCCTGAAGGTCCAGAGACCCTCATCATTCATCTAAGCTGCTCAAGAAAAAGCAATGTGCCTCTGATTTCACTAGATTTAGCTGCTCTCTGCTCTCTGCATTTTTCCTTCCACCCCCCATGTTCTTTCTTTTCTTCTTTCTCTCTTCCCCACAGGACTGTGCAACAATGCAGTTCTGTGCCAATAAGCTGGATAAGAAAGACTTCTTTGGCCGCTCTGATCCGTTCATGATGTTCTACAGAAGTAATGAGGACGGAACGTGAGTTAGCCGTCTCTCTCTTTCTCTCTCTCTCTCTCTCTCTTTCTCTCTCTCTCTCTCTCTCTCTCTTTCTCTCTCTCTCTCTCTCTCTCTCTCTCTCTCTCTCTCTCTCTCTCTCTCTCTCTCTCTCTCTCTCTCTCTCTCTCTTTCTCTCTCTTTCTCTCTCTCTTTCTCTCTATCTCTCTCTCTCTCTCTCTCTCTCTCTCTCTCTCTCTCTCTCTCTCTCATTGATTCACAGCACTCTCTCAGACAGGGAAGCATGAACGAGAAATGTGCAAGTCTTCTTTTGAAGTCATGTCTAAGGAGAGGTGAAGAAAATTGATCTGGGTCTTAGGAATGTCTTTGAAAATTGTTCTAGCCAATAATATTGACTTAGTACTTTTATCAATATGCAAACTTTTAACCTATACACTGCGTGCAGAATTATTAGGTACGTTGATTTTCTGATCATATTATTTTTCCAGGCACATTTGACCAATTCCAAACCACACTAATCTTAATAACTACTATTCATTTTGTACTAATATTATAAGTTATAAATTATAAGTGATATATAATTGTTCATGAAGGCTGGAAATGAAAACGCCTTATATTCAGGTATGCATAATTATTAGGCATTTCTTTTACAGATAAAATAAAAATAATAATAATTTGTTACATTTATATAGCGCTTTTTCTTGGTACTCAAAGCGCTTTACATGGAAGGGGGAATCTCCTCAACCACCACCAATGTGCAGCATCCTCCTGGATGATGTGACGGCAGCCATATTGCGCCAGAACGCCCACCACACACCAGCTTACTGGTGGAGAGGAGACAGAGTGATGAAGCCAATCAGTATATGGGGATGATTAGGAGGCCATGATGGACAGAGGCCAAGGGGAAAATTTGCCGGGATGCCAAAAAAGAGATTTAACTCAGACTGAAAAGTCAAAAATTATTAAATGCCCATGAAAAGGATGCATTACCGTATTTTCCGCACTATAAGGCGCACTTAAAAGCATTTCATTTTCTCAAAAAACGACAGTGCGCCTTATAATCCGGAGCGCCTTATATATGGATGGTGAACACACGTTCACCAAGACGGGGAGACAGCGCCGGGCGACTTACGCCACTATCTGCCAATGGAACGTGGATGCCTGGGCTGATATATCAGTCTCAATTGTGATCCGAGCTTTCACGAAGGCAGGAATAATCTCTTTATTCAGCCAGCTCACATACCCGTATTTACTTCCTGTTTTCGGTCGAAGTCCACAGTAGTTGATTGTCGAGTTCGCGCGCGGAATCAAACCTCCTCCGTGTGTTCAACATCTACTTCGGATGAACTATCCATTTGAGCTGATATTCTCAGAACACCACACAGCACCGTCATCGGCTGACAGCTGACAGTCTGAGTCTCCACTGTTGCTTAGTTACCAATGATTGCGCGCGCGCACTCATGTGGACTTCGTGGACTTCGACCGAAAACGTGAAGAAAATACGGGTATGTGAGCTGGCTGAATAAATATAATTTTTAATCATATCTTTAACATTTAATGCAGTCAGATACACCGTGTTCACTCACATGGCTGTGCACTTGTAATGACACATTAAGGTTGTTAAAAGGCTAAAAGCAGGTTTAAAACTTGCCCCGTTTAAGTCAACAGGGTGCGAATTTTAAAAAGAGGATAACACGGTCGGTTTTTGTCGTTGTTATCTGTACTGACAGCACTCAGAATTTACAAAAAAATGAGCTCAATGTTAAAATTGACCAGAGTTCTCCTTCAACGTTTGAACAACGTTACCATGGGAGTGAACGGAGTTGTCAGAACGCTTAATAAAGTTTGACTTTGTCTGACTGTTTTGTTGACATTCCCTTTAGCACATCTAGTGGATGCATAACGCAAACCCAGTCAAACGTTTGACTGCAGTATTTTATGCGCCTTATAATCCGGTGCGCCCTATATATGAAAAATGTTCTAAAATAGGTCATTCATTGAAGGTGCGCCTTATAATCCGGTGCGCCTTATAGTGCGGAAAATGCGCACTATAAAATTTAATACTAATGCAATACTAAAAATTGCAGTTAAGGCAAAAGAAAAAAAAATTCCTCTTGTACCACTGTTTGAAGAATTCATCTTCCAGAATCTGGCAGTAAGTAAGTAAGCAGTCCATCTCCTACCCTGAAGTCTGCAGATGCGTTTTGCAGAGATGGACTAAAAATGAACAAATAATGAACTCCCAAAACGTACTGCAAGATTCTAGAAGATGAATTCTTCAAACAGTGGTACAAGAGGATGTGGTGCTGGTCCTTTATGAGTCACTCTCAATCTGTCTGTCTATAAAGCCTATAAAAAAACAGTCTTCATGTATTTTACTACACTTCAGCTTGTGATTCTTATTAAGAGGGGGTCATTTTTTAGGATTCTTTACCTAGCCTGAGTCTCTGAGATCCTGACACCTTGCACTACTGGAGACTCCAGGTAGGTTGCAGTTCTGGAAAATGGTGGCGCTGGAGACTAAAGGGTTCCTGATGGTTTCTTCACCTTAAAGCAGCACTAAGTAGGAATTCCGTTTTTGTCAAACAGCGACCCCTAGAGTCGCTGTGGAGTACTTGTACTGTCGTGAATAGCACTCACGCAGAGATGGCTCGCACTCACGGCCGGATCCCCTCCCCCTGTACACCGGTACCTGTTCAGTAGGATGGACGCTGTAACGAGTGGAAATAAGGTATGGCCCCTTTAAGAGCTGCGCGCGCCCTGTTTAACTGTCGGCAATCTGTATTGTATGTGCGCCTCGAACACCACATGTATACGGCGCCGGGTTATTTCTGTTTGATGCTCGTTTTATCAGAATTTTATCAGATCTGTTTTTTGCCGTAAAGTAATTCGTTACCTCGCGAGACCTGATATCACACGATACTTCCTTACACTGAGGCCGGCGGCCCAAAGTTGCAAGGGTGGTTTTGCGGCTCACAGGCACCAGGGGGGTGCGAGACGACCACCATTCAACACGAAATCAGTAATATAAACATTACAATGACTCCAAAGCTGTTCGGTTAAGGTAAAAAAGTTACTTAGTTCACCTTTAATTCTTAATTCTTTTGCAGTTAAAATGTGTCTTTTCTTCTCCACCTGGTTTTGTCTGACCCTGCTGACCTAATGAGCATTTCACTGTCCAATGGTCAGGCCTTAACTGCAATTTCTAGTATTGCATTAGTGTGACGATCTGCGGCTGGAGTGCCCGCTTGAGCCTCTGGAGGGCACTCCTTCCTAGTTTATTGTTTCCATTATGTTTTACCCTGGACTGATTATGGTTTATTTGTTGCACCTGTTTTAGATTGAGCGTCCCTGATTTAAGCCTGAGTTTTCCCTTTGTTCAGGGCTCAGTATTGTTTGTATGTGTCTGACTGCATTACCTAGCCTTGTTCCAGTTTCCTTGTATTCTAGTGTTTCAGTTCCTTGATTATCTGCCTGTTCCCGGTTTCCCGTTTGCCTTATCCCTGCACGGATTTGATGTTTGTTTGGACTGCTTACCTGGTTTTGACCCCTGCCTGTTTCCTTGTACCTGTCTCTGGATTCTCCTCTTAATAAAGCCTGCGTTTGGATCACCTCTGTCCATGTTCCATGTGCAGTTTCATGACAGAATACTGAGCCACTACTGATCCAGCGGTTAAGAGGAACACGGACCTCGTTATGGATCCCACAGCGCAGATCGTAAGCCTCCGTCAAGGAGAACGTCCATTTAAGGTTTTTGTGACAGATTTTTTGAAGCTCGCTCGTCAGTCCTACTTGAATGATTTCTGTTTGATGATGTTCTTTCGGGGAGGACTGTCTGAACCGCTCGGGTCTGCTATACCGTTTCCGTGTTCAAGCTGGACTCTAACCCAATATATTGACCTGGCCCTTTCCATGGGCGGTTCGCTTTTTACTGTGGACTTTTTGGAACTTTTGCTTCACAAAGGACCCGACGATTCGCCACTTTACAAGGTACCCACTGAATCCACGCATCAATTGTCTCCCGGTGAACCAGCGCATCACACGTGCTCCGCCGAGTTTGCGCTACATGAAAGCCCAGTTGAACCAGCGCTTCGTAAAGGGTCCGCCGTATCCACGCAACATGTGAATCCCGACGTTCTAACACTTCACGTAAGCTCCGTTATATTCCTGCCTCAAGAGTTTTCTACTGAGTCTGAGCGTGTGCCAGCCGAATCAAGTGAGTCAAGTGAGTCAAGTGCCGAGTCAAGTGAGTCAAGTGAGTCAACTGCCGAGTCAAGTGCCGCCGAATCAAGTAAGTCAAGTGCCGCCGATTCAAGTGAGTCAAGTGCCGCCGATTCAAGTGAGTCAAGTGCCGCCGATTCAAGTGAGTCAAGTGCCGCCGATTCAAGTGAGTCAAGTGCCGCCGAGTCAAGTGAGTCAAGTGCCGCCGAGTCAAGTGAGTCAAGTCCCCAGTCAAGTGAGTCAAGTCCCGAGTCAAGTGAGTCAAGTCCCGAGTCAAGTGAGTCAAGTCCCGAGTCAAGTGAGTCAAGTGAGTCAAGTCCCGAGTCAAGTGAGTCAAGTCCCGAGTCAAGTGAGTCAAGTCCCGAGTCAAGTCCCGAGTCAACTGAATCAAGTCCCGAGTCAAGTGAATCTAGTGCCGTGTCAAGTGAATCTAGTGCCGTGTCAAGTGAATCTAGTGCCAAGTCGAGTGAATCAAATGAGTCGAGCCAAATGAGTGAATCCAGTCAAGTCAGTGTATCAAGCCCAGTGACTCGCCGTCGCAGGAGGAGAAGGAGGACTCGTTTGGTTCGCCAGGCTCCGGTGGGTGTTCCCAGACTCCTCGCCCTGCCGGCCCCGCCTCCGCGCCTCGCCCTGCCGGCCCCGCCTCCGCGCCTCGCCTTTCCGGTCCCGCCTCTGCGCCTCGCCTTACCTGCGCCTCTCAAGCTTCGGGAGCCTTTTCCAGTAGCGGTTTCCAGCCCGGAGGCTTTAGCTTTAAATTTCCCCAAGAACTTTTTTGGGGGGGGCAATAGGTACCCTAAGAGGGCCATGGAGGTGGCATCTACGTGGACCCTTGCACTACCACCTACACCTGAGAGGGTCATGGAGGTGGTGCCTACATGGACCTTTGCACAACCACCTTCGCCTGAGCTTACCATGTCACTGGTCCTGTCCAGCCCTTTGCTCCCCACGTCTTGGTCCCCTGTTAAGTGTACTCTGCCCTGGTCCTGTGTTATGTGTACTCTGTCCTGTTCTCCTGTCACTTATGCTCCAGCCTGTCTTCCTGCCAAGCATGCTCCGCCCTGGCTACTTGCGGAGCGTGCCTCCCCGTGGTCTCTTGCCCTGCTCTGGTCTCCAGGCCCCAGGTCTCTCCATGGGCCTGGCCCCCTGCCTCTCCACGGGCCTGGCCCTCCATCCCATCCCCCGTCGACCTCCCTCCGGAGCTCTTAGGAGCGTCTGGAAGCCGCTCCTTAGAGGGGGGGTTATGTGACGATCTGCGGCTGGAGTGCCCGCTTGAGCCTCTGGAGGGCACTCCTTCCTAGTTTATTGTTTCCATTATGTTTTACCCTGGACTGATTATGGTTTATTTGTTGCACCTGTTTTAGATTGAGCGTCCCTGATTTAAGCCTGAGTTTTCCCTTTGTTCAGGGCTCAGTATTGTTTGTATGTGTCTGACTGCATTACCTAGCCTTGTTCCAGTTTCCTTGTATTCTAGTGTTTCGGTTCCTTGATTATCTACCTGTTCCCGGTTTCCCGTTTGCCTTATCCCTGCACGGATTTGATGTTTGTTTGGACTGCTTACCTGGTTTTGACCCCTGCCTGTTTCCTTGTACCTGTCTCTGGATTCTCCTCTTAATAAAGCCTGCGTTTGGATCACCTCTGTCCATGTTCCATGTGCAGTTTCATGACAATTAGTAATGCATCCTTCTCATGGGCATTTAATAATTTTTGACTTTTCAGTCTGAATTAAATCTCTTTTTTGGCTTATTTTATCTGTAAAAGAAAACATGCCTAATAATTATGCACAACTGAATATGAGGCGTTTTTCATTTCCAGCCTTCATGAACAATTATATATCACTTATAAATGATTAAATACACAATTAATAGTAGTTATTAAGATTAATGTGGTTTGGAATTGGTAAAATGTGCTTGAAAAAAAAAATATGATCAGAAGATCAACGTACTGTACCTAATAATTCTACACGCAGTGTATATAATACAATGTAATCATACAATGTGCACTGCTTTGTTTGAATTTCACATCTTTGTGTTTTGTTGCTTAGGTTCACTATTTGCCATAAAACTGAAGTGGTAAAGAGTACACTGAACCCTGTCTGGCAGGCGTTCACCATCCCTGTCAGAGCGCTTTGCAATGGAGATTATGACAGGTGCACTCACACATACACAAACAGACGTGCATGTCAATATGCACTGATGCTTTACGCCTGTCACCAGTGTTAACAGGTCTCATGTACTAACTGTGCATGCACTTAAAACCAGTGTGCAAAAGCTTTCACACTGTAATTATGATGTGTCAATACATTTTTTAAAATGTAGGATCATTTTTTTAGGATAAAGACAATTCACAGAAAAGTATATATTATATTATATTAATTACATTTTGTGATTTGTTTTGGCCATTTTATTTATTAAATTAAAATATAACAAAATAAATAATATTATAAGTAATAATAGTAACAATATAATATAATATAATTTTTTTTTACTGTTATAAATTATAATATAATTGCATTTTTTAAATATATAGTTTAAAATATAATTTGAAAAAATAAATATATATTACATTGTTACTATTATTGCTTAAAATATAATTTTTTTATATTTTAATTTAATATAAATTTAATATAATATAATTACTATTATTATTATTTAATATAATTAATATAACATTTTAATATAATTGTAATATAACTATAAAAAGTAACTATATAACTATGTTGTCTTTTTTAGAGTAACAAAACTGTGTTATTGTTCATTCTGATATGCAGTCGATCACTTGCCGTCTAGCACTATGTAAAGGTGTTTAGTATGTGGAATAGCCTTATTTAGAGATGTTTGGGTGTGAATTATGCTAATTACTCTGTGGGTATGCACTCCGTTACTTAGACTCATTTTAGCAATGAGGGTTTAACATAAGAATGTTATGAATCCTGTGGAAATTTAGCGTGAGAATGCTGTTGTTACTGAATAAGACCCTGTGTATGTGCGTGTCGAGAGGGATCGTGTCCCTGTGCTCTTTGATTCAGTCGCACATTGAGACCTGACTGCTGGTACTCATTGCATCAGCATTATTTGATTATAGACAGTCCTCCTGTTCACGGTGCTGCACTGTTGTGATTTATGCTCTACAAGGACACATTATTTTTGCTTTCTACTTTCTGTGTAGCATATATTTGTGTGTGTTTGCACTACACTGTTTCTTTGTTGGTCTACATGGGCCTATATGCTTTCTAGTGTGTCAAACAGTTTGTTATGTTCAGTGATATTTCGTAGGCCGGGACGGGCAACATCGGTACTGGAGTGCTGCTGTCTGCAGAGTTTAGCTCCAACTCTAATCAAACACACCTGAACAAGCTAATCAGTGTCTTCAGTATTACTAATGCTACAGACAGGTGAGTTTTTCTTATCAGTGTTGGAGATAAATTCTGGAGGACAGCGGCACTCCAGGACCGACCTTGCCTACCCTTTCTTAGGCTATACCTGTGTGTTCATTTTCATGGCAAGGGTGAGGATTGCAGACGCATTGGCAGCTGTGTGTCGTCTGAGAGCTGTCATAGCCAATCAGAACACAGGGAACAGAACCACCTGCCACCCAGTTCCCACCTGGCCTCTGATCCTTTGTGTGTGAGAGAGACAGAGCAAACGAGAGTAAGAAAAAGGAAAGGGGAACTCCAGCTGTTGTGGTGCTGTGCTAATTATTACCTGCTGTAAGGGTGCCAGCTGAGAGGAGTATTTATATTGTAGTTGGTATATTTTTTTCAACAGAAAAAAGACCATACTAAGTTTTAGATGTTATGCAGATCTTAATATATTGGTTCCAAATCAGAATAGCAAATAATAATGACTTTTAAGCAGTAATGTGGCAGAAAGTATGCTATTATGACATTATTTGATTCATTTCATTGTAACGGAGTGCTGTTGTACTGATGATCAGCTCAGGTTTTGCTAATATGAACCAAAAGCTCAAGTTATTTTTAGAACATAAAGCATTATCTGTTTTGCTGACCATTAGTGTGAATCTTCTGGATGCATATCTTATTATTTTCTTTGAAACAAATGCTTGTTGTATTAAATCAGGTTAGAAAAGAGGGCAGGGTCTCCTTCAGGGGTCTTAAACAAATGAGAGAAAATTTGGTTTGATTGACACGAGGGGAAGCCATAATTTGCCCATAGTGTCATAACTGATCTGCATCTGTCTGTGATCTCAGGGAGAGACAGGAACAGCACTTAACCCTGTCAATCAGCCAAGCTCCTGAGGGACACGTCTCAGACTTTACAGAGGAAATTACCTCAGGGCTTCCGGATGTTTCCGACACTCTGGGAGATTGATAGAAAGTTGTGGAAGTTGTTTTCCAGTAGAAAGTCCTATAAAATAGTAATGTTTGGCACTGGAGGTTTTAGTGGATAAATGTGTGCAGAAATTCTAATTAGTCTAGGCTATACATTTTCCAATATTTTTCTATTTTTGTCTGGTTTGAATTGAGAAGAAAAAAGTACTTGCTATATTTAAATAAATATTTATAAATACTAAAATATATAATAAAATATTCATATTAAAATACATTCAACTGTATACTACTGTTAAAAAGTTCAGTAATTTAATTTATTATAACAGTTAAATATAGCAAATAACAGTGAAATATTATTACAATTTAAAATAAATGTTTTCTATTTGAATATATTTTGAATTGTAATTCATTCCTGTGATGGCAAAGCTGAATTTTCAGCATCATTACTCCAGTCTTCAGTGTCACATGATTCTCCAGAAATCATTCTGATATTATGAGTTGGTGCTCAAGAACCATTTCTTATTATTATCAATTTTGAAAACAATCGTGCTGAATAATATTTTTTTGTGGAAACTGTAATAAATTTTTTCTTTCCACGATTTTTTTTATTACCGTAATAGAAAGTTAAAAAGAACAGCATTTACTTTAAATATATATTTTTTTAATAATGTAAAAGTCTTTACTGACATCTAATGCATCCAATTAATGCATCCTTGCTGAATAAATTAATATGTATTAATTTCTTTTAAAAGAAAAAAAGCGGTACTGTATACAATATAATTTTATATATTATACCACAATAAAAGACTGGAGTAGGGAAAAGTAATTATATTTTATTTCAGATTAGGCATGAAAACAAAATAAACTGTGGTTGGTCACTTTACATGTCAATCAGACCCTTGTATAGAATAAGTTGCAATTTGAACCAGACCTATTGCTGTTTAGTTGAGGGTCTGTGAATCTTCTGGTTGCCTGTCTGCAGGGAATCTGAGAACTGATAGACATGATGTGTTCCATATGATCTCTGATGAATCGCCTACATCTGTTCTCTAACTCCAGAGCTGTACCAATCTGCTTTACCAACAGATGGAGAGATTCTCCATGTACTCCATGGAAATACTCAATAGAAGCTCAGTGCTCTGAGTTTAGGTCCATTCTCTCATCCCAACTCAGATGATGCATTTGTGCCATTGAGATTTCATTACTACCTTTACAAATGATTCTAATCAAGCAACCGTACAAAATCATGTTTTACGTCTACGACTTTTTTCCTACGACTATGGAAATTTCCTGATTTACAAAGTACAAATCCACCTTTTGTAGCATACTCATGTGAAAACATAATCAAGTCTGGACAAAACACTGCAAGTCAGTGTTTTGTGGTCCATACAATGAGTTGTTTTGGACGCCATTGACTGTCATTGTAAGGACACAAACAGCTGAAATATTCTTCAAAATATATATTTTTGTGTTCTTGAGGAGAACCATTTTTGGTTGAACTATCCCTTCAAGAGGATAACACAACATACATTGTGCTGGTTATCAAACAGGAAAAGAATGACTGATGTCCGTTTTCGCTCATTCATTTTCATCGCAACAGTAAATACAAGCACATCCCTGTATTTTGTGACAACAAGTGTGTGACATGCTTCGGTGCCGAATGCCGTTTAGAGCTATTGCCATTTTTATTAACAAAGGCTACAAATCTCTGCTGCCTCTCTGTAATTGATCGTGTTAACTTGCTTTGAACAGAATGAGGTTCTAATTATTCAAAACTTCAGATGTAATTAATGTTTAAATGAAACTCGCCTGCGTCCTGTCAGGTGAAGTGACGCTCCAGGGCTGCTCTGTGTCACAACCCGGGAGTTCGTTCCCTGCCAACCGCTGTTTAATTCCGAGTGCACTGTCTGGATAATAGCCTGTAATTGGTTGGTTTTAGCACTGAGATGAAAAGACAGTGAGACAGGTTCTTTAAGCCCTTTTATAATCAGAAAGCATCCATCATTTCAGCTGCTGCTCTCTTTTCAGTTTCTGACATATCACCACACCATGTTTCTAAATGCTCTGTTTTAAATCTTTCAGGTCAATTAAAGTGGAGGTGTACGACTGGGACAGAGATGGCAGGTAGAAAAACACACATTTGTTTATTTACAATACACATTTACGTAATATGATCTCATGATCTAATATGTGCATTTGGTAAACCCCACACAATTATGATTTCTTTCTTGAAAACATAGTGGAAAAATGTCATCCTAGCTTCCTGCAGACCCATGCTCTAAAACGCCTGGCACTAACAAATACTGATCACTCTCTCGTAAATAAGTTCAAATCCATCTATTTTCATCATCACAGACAGTAAGAGTCTCTTTGTTGTTCTTTGTGCTTCAGTCATGATTTTATCGGGGAGTTCACCACCAGCTACAGAGAGCTCTCTCGCGGTCAGAGTCAGTTCAACGTGTATGAGGTGAGTTTAGTGAATCAGATACTGATCCATTAATCCACTGAGGAACCATTGTGTTCATATAAAGGAGGTGATTCTAGATTCATGAAGTGATGATGGCAAAAAAAGAAATAAAAATGTGTATGGGAGCTTATCTTGTTGAAAAAAAATAGGGGAGACTTGGTTGGAACATCCCCTTGATATTCAGAGTATTCATTGACATATTTTATTATGATTATTATTATGATTATTATAGAAATAATATTAATATTAGACTAATGTTAGACTTGGTTTAAGGTAGACTTTTAAACTAGTCTTTTAACACTGTGGACACAGACAACCTGGACCAACCCTGTTGGAGTTGTTTTGCATAAGTGCTGTTGTGGCTTTTCCTGTCCAACAAACATCATCAAAGAGATCTTCGTCACCAATACACATTCGTGAGTCAGTGAGGAGAGATAAAGAGAAGCAGTGTCTGTCTTTTTTATATCTTGCGTCCTCCAAGGCCTTATTTCTGCCCTCCCCTCACAGGAGAGATATACTTTGTTTTTTCCTATTTCTCCCTGTCCCTGAGAGGTAAATGCCCCCTTAACCCTTTAGGCTATAACGTACAAATGCATTTAAGATAACCCCTTTGACCACCTGCTTTTCCTTACCTCCACTGACTCCCAACCACAGTAAATTATCACCCAAAGGCCCCCTCTCACTACATTCGTGAGAACAAATGAGGCCATCATTAGGAATCACTAAAATCAGAGTAATAATAGGAAAATTCCATAACAACTCCTCTCTGTTTATCAAACTCTGATAACTGATAAATCAAACATTGTAATAATAGTAATAATAAATGCAAGTTCAAGTCATTACATACAAATCACTCTCCTTGAACCTGTGAAGAAAAAGTTTAGAATGAAGAAGCATAAGGCTGTTTTTTGTGGGGGAAAGCCCCATAATTATTTAGCAAGCAAGTAAACATTTTTACTGGGCCGGGCTAAACGAGAAATCACTGTTTCTGCGCTCCTGCAAGCAGACCCTCAGTCACACCAGTAAGGAATAAATAGTTATAACACATTAAGAAAACAAACAGAAAAAGTATAATAAAAATCCCTCAGTTTCAAACCCTGTCCTTGTACGCCACCTCGTAACACGGATGACCGCTGCTTGTAACCTTCTTTAAATCTTTTGCCCTTAATCTTTCTCAGAAAATAAACAAATAGAAGAAAAACAAACAGAACATACATTTAACACATATCTCACTGTTGCTCCCGCTAACTGTATCGTCGCATAATTTTGTTCATCCTTGGGATAGACTGTCATTTTCACCAATTGAACAGACAGCAGGTTTTCACCTGTCTCTCTAATCATATTCACCCATGAATAACAAAATTATCAGAATAACACACACAATCCTAACTCCTATCATTAAGCCTTTTCCATTAATCTACGCCCATCTCCATATTTCATTCACTTCTAATTCAATTTAGTAAGCTCTATTGAACGCACTGTTTAACAAATCTAACCAGAGAAGTCTTATAATTTTTTTTCCCATTCCTCTAACCAAATTAGTTGTTCAAAATTAACTCTAATATCTCCATTACGGTCCGTCTTTTTTGCTTGTTACACATAAATTAATAGATTTTCTACATTTGCACCAATCAAATCAATACCTAGTTTGATTCAATCAAACAAAATCATCAAAATCATCACAAAAACAGATTCTTCTGTTAAACTTAAACCATCAGTTGGCAGTTGGTTCCTCCAGGTGTGTTGATCATCTCGTTCGCCCCACGGACGTTCCGTGTTCACCATGTTGACACTTTGCGTGCCGTAGCCATGGTCTTCCATCGCTGGTGAGCGAGGTACGTTACTAGCACGTCCTTGAATCCCTCACTTTGTGCTCTATTGGATGGTTGAGGCCTGTTGGTGTTGTCTAAGGTGAGAGGCTTGGACCCAGGTGTCACACTCTCCAACCATTTTCTGATCCTTATAAGGTTTTCCCTTAAATCACGACCGCACCCCCACTGGAGTGAACCATTTCTTGCCTGCTTTCACCTGTGAATGGAGACCTTAAGTATTTTGTTAGTGACTTGTCTAGCCGCTCGTCCCCTTTGGTGTGACCTGTGGAATCAACAACCTGAAACATTATCACCGGATAATCTCTTGCTCACTTAATAGCACTCGGGGTCGATCCTTTTACCCTGAAAAACACTCAACCCCCTTTGCTCATGTCCACAACACAATATTTATACATTTGGAACAGAATCAGTTCTGTTTTCCGCAATCCATCCTGACATTCTGTAAAAGGAAAATCTTAAGTTATGCGCTGCGCAGGTGTGGCACCTTTCTGCTGCAATAATAACCCAGGCCAGGATAGTTAGCCAAATTCATCCATAGCCATCATTTTATTGGGCCCATTCTGTCCTGTATCAAAAGTCTGCATGCTCTATAAAGAAAAACAAATGTCGAGGTTATTTTCAGATAGTAAAATACACGTAGTTTATTTTGTCTGCTGTGCTGCCGCGGCCTTCGCTGCTGCATCTGCCCTGGCGTCTCCTGTTGAAACAGTCCTGCAAATACACTTACAGACAGCAATTTTGTTAGGGAGAAGAATGGCTTCTTGCCAGGCTTTTACCCAATTAAACCCAGTGTCCTCCCAACATATATATTGTCCCTTAGTAAACCATATTATGTCAATTGTTACCATCCCCCTTTTTTGATGCATTAATCAACTCATGCATCAATTTAACATAATTGTGTTTGGATGAACAAAGTTTGCCATCAACACTGTCCTTCAGCCAAATTTCCTCCAGACATCTTTCTCTGTCTCTGAAACAAAATATTACATTCTTCACTCAAAGCCCAATCTCATCTTCTTATCGAAGTATTTGAAGGGCAATGGCCCTGAGTCTCACAGCGAATCCTGCTTTTCAGGCCTGTTGTTTGGTCTCTCAAGTCAGTCATCTACAAACATTTCCAAAGTCATCAATTGTTTCTATCAGGTCAGGTCGTGCTGTACAGACTTGGTCATTGTCAGTCAATCATTTCTCCCCCTTTGTTCACAATAATCATAAATGTGAGGGGCTCTCTTGATAATTTCATGTTGACAGCCAATATGTCACTTTGTTGTTGCCATCAAATCTACAACATTTTCATTTATCTCAGCCCATGCCAGATGGTGATCTACAACTTACACAATTCCCATTTACTTAAACTGATCTTCAAATCTACATTATGTATGACAAAAGTATTACTACCAGACAGAGCTTGATGGCCAATCAACTTAAAGCTTGTCCCATGTTCTGTATTGTCTTTTCATCACAATTATCAGCTTCTTTAAAGTTTGTCATTTACCTTAACCCATCTGTAATGATAAAACACTCATTCCAGATGGTTAATGACACAGTATACTCACTATTCAGGCGGAATATTATTACCCCAAACTAATACATACAAGACATAAAGTGCTGTCACCATCACACACACTCACACTAGACACACATATGTTAACTGCTCATTCTCAATGTTCACTTTTCTTTATATTATTGCTAAAAGATTTAAATTTTAAATAAGATTTTAACCTTTCCATTTTCCTGTAGCTTCTATCTAATTTTACATGGTCTCTTAACCACTTTCAAAGCATGTCTTGTTCATTATTCATTTGATTTTTAGACAAGTCAGCTGGGTTGTTTTGGTTCCTTATCATTATTTTCCCTTCAGCTTGCTCAGGCAGGCCGATAACAGAAAGACAGACACAGTTACCATCCCTTCCTCCAACTCAGGCAGTCTCTCTCACTATAAACAAATAATTTTTCCACCAGCCTCCTAAGGCTGTAACTTAGACAAAATTTGTATTCATTACAATAACCTTTGACCATTCACCTTTGTCATCCAGACTTTCCTTAAATCAAAAGCTGTCTTCATCTTTAGCCACCACCATGTCTAACGACCTTCAAGAGTTAAAACTATGTCATAGACCTATTAGTTCAAAATCAACACTATGATTTTCCTTGCCCATAAGGCAACCAGTACATAAAAAGTTTTGCTACTGTCTCCACAACAACTAATGGCAATCCCCTCATGGTCTCAGCTGGCCCTTGAAAGCCCATTTCTGTTGGCCCTTTATCTATAATCTCCATCAGGGTGTTTTCCCCTGGCATATTTGCAGACGCTTGTCACAATAAAAAACAAGCCATACAACTAATGCGGTTTCTTCTGGTGAGTGGTATGGAGGAGCTTTGCTTTATGGGGCAGACATGCCGTGACTCGTCACAGCTTCATCTCCCTGTAACGGTATAAGGACGCTGCTGGCCTCACAGCTCCTGCTCAACCCTCATACCTGTCTCACATAACACACCTCCATTCAGGAGATGCCCAGTGACTTTACGTGACCCCTCTGCCTTAGGTTGCCCCCTGTCTGGCCAAAGAAGGTCTTACCCGTCATAGAGATGGTCACTCGTGCCCACTGGTGACCGCTCTTTCCCTTCACACAATCAGTTCTCTTCAACAGAACTCAGCTGTTTTCTGGAGCTTAGGAAAGGCACGTTCAAGAGTCACCAGAGCCATTCCGATTGCCTAATAGTGTTCACACAGGGAGACAGGTTAATAACAGCAATATTTAATCACTTAAATCCATTAACCATCTTAAAAGCAGAAACCTAGCTGCTTAGATTATACTCAGTGAATTTAGATCACAACCGTACATTCAGTGTACTTCATCTGTAGCTGGAGCCATCGGTCCTGAATGGTGGAGACTAAATGAGACAAAGAAGTTACTGGTCCTAAAATAAGCTAATCAAAATGTCATCTCTATCTGTATTATTATTTTAAGTACTTCTTTAAAGTCATTCAGTTTTATTTTTAAAACATCTCTGTGTCTATGATCTTCAACTGAAACACTGTGCTTTACTTATTATCACAGATAACAGCTTTTAGCTGACTCATTGAATGAGAGAGACTCTGAGACTCTATTGGATGGTACACTGCTCTCTCATATACTTCTAACATCAAACTTTTATCTATCATCT